TTCACTTTCACTTTCACTTTCACTTTCACTTTCACTTTCACTTTCACTTTCACTTCCACCTACCTACTTAAAACATCACCACTGCCATCACCTAACCCCCAACTATCCTTTCCACACCAACCATGGCCACCACCAAACCGACCATAATCCTCGTCCCACGCGACTGGGAGACCCTCGCGCACTACGAGCCCCTAACCACCCTTCTCACCACCGCCGGCTTCCACATCATCCCCATCACCCACGCCACCCCAGGCACAACCCCCAAGTCGACCTTCGCGCCCGACGACCACACCGTCCGACACACCATCCGCCGCGCCATCAAAGGCGAAATTGAAAAAGAACACGACATCATCCTCCTCACGCACTCGGACGGCGCCATCCCCGACAGGGAAGCCTGGCCCTCCCTCCTCACCACCGACCTCGCCGCCACGTACCGCAAAGGCGGCGTCATCAGTGTCGTCTACATGACAGGCTTCTCGCTCGACGAAGGCAAGAGTCTCGTTCACGTGTGCGAAGCGCTATCAATGGCCTCGAGTTCGGCCGCCGCTCGTAAGCGGAATTGGCAGGCCGAAAAGGAGCGCCTGAAGCACAGAATAAACAATCCTCCGCCAATGCCGGCGCGTGTGGTGGTGCCCGAGGTCCCGAACGACACCACGAGCTCGGACACCGCTCGTCAGCGGAAGATCCAGGCCCAAATGGAGCACATGGTGAACGATCCTACACCACCGCCGGCGCCTGTGTTGTTCCGCAGGGCCCCGAAAAAACCCACCTCCACCGGCACCGTACGGCACGAGGTCGCGCTTTCGCGTGGCGCAAAGATAACATGCGTCGTCGCGTTGATTGTCATCGTCTTCGCTATCGTGCTCGCGCCTTTCCTGCTCAGCATGTACGTGGCGGATGTGAACCGCCGCCCCAGTAGCGGCTGAGGTGTGTTTAGGTGCTTTGTGAGAGGGACCAGGCGGTCCCGGTGGAGTTGCAGGAGAGGATGGTGGGTGGGGAGGCGGGGTATTGGAGCGTGGAGAGGGTGGTGAGTGGACATTGTCCGTTTTTGAGCTGTCCGGAGATGGTGGCTGGGATTGTTAGGAGGGCGGCGGGGGAGGGTGGGGTTTGAGGTTGGTATTATGGAGGAGCAGGTGGTGGGGGGATGAGTGGGTCTTGCAATGGAAGAACATTCAGACCGGTGTTAAGTATGGCATGGTACGAGGCCAAAAACTACGGTTCGAAAAGGGGCCCTTAGGGCTAGAATAGAGCAATGCTGGTCGTAAATAAAGAAATTACTCTTACATGATCGACGCTGGTTGATGGGATATTCCAGTCACGAAAATCTGTTAATTCATGGCCGCGTCTTATACTCTCCATATGCCGCCCAGTGCTGGACGGTTGCCGACTTTTGTTGGATGACCCATACCGCAAGCATGGCGGGTCCATATAACTCCTAAGGCTTACGTCTAATATCATGTAGGCGTCTCTTACACTGCTGATCCGGACTTCGAGACAAGACTTCAACTGGCGGGAGATCCCTCGACATCCTTGAGGCCGACGTACCTGTAGCTGCTGAATTGGCCCGATAGAGAAGTTCAAAGAGCGTCCTTTTCTCGTTGAGTGGCCAAGGATGATCATCTGAACCTTCTAAGGCTCCTCGGTATTGCTTACCCAAAGTACCTTACTGTATGAGCTTGCATCATGTGAAAATTCCAACACCTCGCCACACTGCCAAGAACGCCGCCATGTATATCATTGATGTCTTGCCACATACATAACCATGAACTCAGATAGTCGACAATGTTGCGTATGCGATTGGTACTTTTCAAGACAATGATTCATCCCAACCCATGACGGAAGGTCTCCAAGCGCGTCCCGCGAGTCATTCGCATGCGACAACAACAACAAGCCTCCCAAGCCTCACCCAGCTTAGGACACGCCAGCGAACCTCCAAGCACTTTGCCTATGCTTACCTTAAACCGCTGACCAAGCCTCCGAATCGGTGCTGTGTCCTTGGCCAAATCCAGAATGCTTGTGTCGCGCAGCTCATGCTTATTTTGACTTCTATGCTTAATTGATATGGAGACTCAACTCTTGTGTGCGGTTCATCCGACGCATCCGGCGAACGCATCCCTTGGGCGTTGAGGCTCCTTCTCACGTTGGCGCAAAAGCGCCGCGGTGCTGCCAAAACTCCTGGGGCAGAGAACCTGAGCAGGGTTTTCGACGAGGGGATTGGCTTGATTCTGAGATACCTAAACTTGCACTTCCCCAGACCTGAACGAGCGGGCTGTATAACAGATTGCTTTGCAAAACGTTATGTATTGGAAAATCCCGGCAATGCTTCCGAACTTCACTGAGTTCAAAACTTGCACAATTCGGGTTGTATAGTGTAGCGGTTAGCACTTCGGATTCTGATTATATCGGCTGATCTTCGGAACTTCCGGCGACCCCGGTTCGATTCCGGGTACGACCTTTCTTCTTTTGTTCTTTCGAGGCGTTTTTTTGTTAGCATACATGTCCTACAAGCCTCAGGAAAGGCCGGCGCATGCTGGGGATCGATTTTTGGAATACATGTACGGGTGGTGGCGGTATGCGAGTGGATAGCGAACAACATCTCTCATGGAACGCTTCCCCTTTACGGATATCACAACCGGCCGTTGCGACCTTTTAATTATGAGAACCCGATACAAATGTATGCTATGCGGCTACCGGAAGACGTCTTCCTTGGCGATAGAGGGAAGACATACCATCGCGTCGTCTGCTCACCAGATGCCGCATCTTGGCAAGCCTACGTGTATAGTGTATGTATACATAGGACAAGCGGTGAGTAATACAGTGACCGAATAGGGCCGACGAAACAAGAAGGTACGACCAGTCGTAAAAGACCGGAAGGAATTAATCCAGCAAGATCGTCGACGTGATTGACAGTGATCGTCATTGACTACAGTACTGAGGAATGCCACGTTCAAAGACGACCTTGGCACTCAGTCCGCCGCGTTTACAAATAGCAACGTACTGTTCCGAGTACTCCGAGTTATACCTGGTAAGGAGTGGGGGATGTCGGCGGTGGAGAAGGAGATGGATATGTACTATAGGGTCATGCTGCAAGATCAGCCCTCCCACACCGCCGGAATCAGGCGTAAGTTATGTGAGGATTGCACGGACGCCGGTGTAGCAACTTGCAGGCAGGGTCATGTACTGCCGTTACCAGCTCCAGGGGGGTAATTGAATTATTCGGAGTCGGTTAATTGGGGGGGTATTAGGATTGACGCACTCATTTGGCCGGTAGCAGGTCACGAGATGTTGTGTTCCCTGAATAATGTCCCATCCCATCCTCCACGGCCAACCCGCAAAAAAAGAGGGTGGCTGTCACGTCCCCCTCATGGGGTGATGAGACGGTCGCGGAGTTTGGGACAGTTGTGGATTTCATGGAGGTGCCGAATGCCCGACCCAGCTTGCTCCACGCTCCACTCCTCCACGCACCCACGTACCCACTCCAGCCCACAAAATGCAACGCTGGCAAAAACCGAGGGTTGGAGTGGTGGAGTGGTGGAGTGGTGGAGATGAGAACTTTCCAATCTCTTGGAACAATCTCTTGGAAGTGTGATCTTCACAATCTGCCACAACACAAGAACCGACAAGCATTTTTGCAAGCATCTTTGCCACTGCTTGGTTTGCTGGGCACAGCAGAACCCTTCACCTCAACCACTACTCAATCTCTTTGCAAAGACTTACTAACCGTTCGGGCTCCTCCGAGGGGACGAGTCAGGTGTTGTCGGGTTCTCGGGGATGAACTTCGGGTTGAAGAAAATGCTTGATATGGCGTTGCGTCATGGAAGTAATAGCCCTGGGAAACTCCAGTCCTTCAACCACTTAACGCGGTCTCCTCGTCAGCGGCGCGTGCCAAGTTCGCGCTTCCTTGCGTTGACTCCGGGTGATAGTTCGCATGTCGGCAAGAAAAGCGTTGTGGCCCTTGTGGGATGGTGTTTCAGCACATGTTGTAGGGCTTGGCAGCAACGGCGGTGCCTCGGTGATGCAAGGCGATGATCTCATGCGCGTGTCTGGCAGTCGCCTAAAGTGCGGGTTGCCTGTTTGGGGCTTTTGCCAAGGCCAGGGTCTGATATCTCTGACTGTTCAGTCACCGAAGGTTGACTTGAGATCCACCCGCTAGCGCCGGCTACTGCGCGCCGTCGTTCAGCCTCCCGAACGGCAGGGGATGGCCCATGGATGGAAGCGTTGGTGCTTCAGCGTGCTTGTCGGCGCCAACAGCGAAAGCTTAACCCAATCTCCGCCACCCGCTGCCTCCAGCATTCTCGTGAGCGTGCAAAGGGTCCACAACTCTCTCCACCCACACTCCACGCATGACGTCGATTCATCTCGTACGCACCGTTGCCTTACCCGACTGCACGCTGCTGGCGAGGCCTAGCAGCCGACGGCGTGCGCAGTCTTTGCAAACGAACCACTCAACCGCACATCATACTCTTTCGGTCAGGATGCGACCGTGACTATAAAGGATGCATCCCCAGCCCTCTCCACTGTCCCTCGGTCCTTTCTCGTCACTCCATCTCTCCCCGCTTCAGCCCAAACCCTGAGACCCAGTTCTCAGAACGAACATATATAGTCGGCAGACGTAGCTGTGCTTCGTCTTGATCTCGTCTTCCTCGTCCGACACTCGACCACACCGACACAGAACTAACATCGCTGCGGGATCAGCGCGAATACCATCAAGATGACTAAGGGTGTGAGACTGAACGATGCCGGCATCCCCCACTACATGGGCTTGACCGGCAAGCCTCTCAGCATTGCTGTCTCCATTGTCGCCACCACCGGTTTCCTGCTTTTCGGTTATGACCGTAAGTCCACCAGCCAGCATATCATCAGTACCATCGGTCGGAAACGCTGACTTGTCGCAGAGGGCGTCATGTCCGGTATTATCTCCGCCGCCCCTTTCAATGCTGCCTTCCCTCAGACCCTTAACAACACGACTTGGCAAGGTTTCGTCACTGCCATCTACGAAGTTGGCTGCCTCATCGGCGCCATCTTTGTCTTGGTCTTTGGTGATGCCATGGGTCGTCGCCGTAGCATTATCTCTGGCGCTATCATCATGATTATCGGTGTGATCATCCAGGTCGCTTCTATTCCAGGTGCCGGTGCCACGGCGCAATTCATCGTCGGTCGTGTCGTTACTGGTGTCGGCAACGGCATGAACACCAGCTCCATTCCAACCTACCAGGCCGAGTGCTCCAAGTCCCACAACCGCGGTCTGCTGATCTGTATTGAGGGTGGCACAATCGCTATCGGAACCCTGATCGCTTACTGGATCGACTTCGGCTGCTCTTACGGTCCAGACGACCTTACTTGGCGCTTCCCGATCGCTTTCCAGATTGTCTTTGGTCTCGTTGTTTGCATCTTCATGGCCTGGCTTCCAGAGTCGCCCCGTTGGTTGTTGTCCAAGGACCGTCACGATGAGGCGACCACCGTCATCTCCGGTCTCCGTGGTCTGCACAAGGAGGACCCAGAGGTCCTGCTCCAGGTCAACATCATCATGGACTCTCTCCGCGCCTCCGGCCACATTGGCGGCAACACCCCATACAGCGCTCTTCTCACCGGCGGCAAGACTCAGCACCTCCGTCGCATGCTTCTCGGCGCTTCCTCTCAGATGTTCCAGCAGCTGTCTGGTTGCAACGCTGTCATCTACTACTTCCCAATTCTCTTCGAGACCTCTATCGGACAGTCCCACCAGATGTCTCTCCTTCTTGGTGGCATCAACATGATCGTCTACGCTATCTTCGCTACCACTTCCTGGTTCATCATTGAGCGCGTTGGCCGTAGAAAGCTTTTCCTCTGGGGTACTGTTGGCCAATGCTTGTCCATGGTCCTCGTCTTCGGAGCTTTGATTCCGAACACCACGAGCGCCGCTAAGGGCGCCGCTGTCGGACTCTTCACCTACATTGCCTTCTTCGGTGCTACCTGGCTCCCACTGCCATGGTTGTACCCAGCCGAGATCAACCCAATCAAGACCCGTGCGAAGGCCAACGCCGTTTCAACCTGCAGCAACTGGCTCTGGGTAAGTTCAGACAGTAAAGGAATCGTAATATCGCGCCAGAGGCTAACACCTTCGTAGAACTTCTTCATTGTCATGATCACTCCAGTCATGCTTTCCGGCATTGGCTGGGCTACCTACCTGGTCTTCGCCGTCCTCAACGCCTGCTTCTTCCCCATCATCTACTTCTTCTACCCCGAGACTGCCGGTCGCTCCCTCGAGGAGATTGATCTTATCTTCGCCAAGGGTAACCTTGAAAAGATGTCATACGTTCGCGCCGCCCAAGAGCTGCCACAGCTCAACGATGAGGAGATCGACGCCAAGGCGCGCGAGTACGGCTTCACCAGCGACGACGACGAGGCCGGCCAGATCAAGGAGGCTCGCTTCGGCGAGAAGGAGGACGAGTTGGTGCACAACGCCAATGCCCAGATGGCGTAAGGAGGATGCTTGGACAAGTGTGCTTTTTGTACTTTGTCGCTGCTGGAATCAGCGATAATGGGCTTTCCTTTGGTTTGAAACAATGTCGACGCAGTAAATCATCATGCTTGACAGGGCATGACACAGGCGTTTTCCCTCAGGAGGGCTCTCTCTCGCATCCATAGACGAGACGGTGGACCGTGTACGCACACCACCTGCGATAGATATCATACTTATTAGACGGATAAAATATAGATTTGTTGTTCTTCTCGCAAAGCCTTTGTGTGCTCAATACTTCTTTGCTGTGTCACTTCACTCGCGTTTGTTTCATCGCACTAGTAGTTAGTCGTATGACTGAGGGCTATCCTCTCACTCACGGCCCGCCATATTTCCATTCACTTGAACTGTTTGCGTGGCAATATGTGGTGGTATGATACGTTGAGCGTTTGCGCGTCCTCGGCTAACAAAGCATCCCATTCCTTCACACAGTGAGCGATATACAAGATCCACAAGGCCTTCAGTAGGTGTAGCCGACGAGTTTGTCTGGTACAGACGGGAGCAGACGTTGCTGGTGTTGCTGCCAAAGTCCCGCATCACGTGACACAAAAATGTGTGATCTGCCAATTAGGTTGTTCCGCGGCACCGGGCGTCGGGCCCGTTGAGCTACCACCCGCACTACGTCATACCAAGCAGACGCATCATGCAGTTTCCCTCTGTAGGACGATCTAGCCCTTGCGACAACTTGACCTCCCCTTGTCTCAATGTACACGCTACGTTGAGAGGCAGAGATACAGGACGATTACGAGCTCTCTCTACAGTCATCCGAAAGGTTACATGCTTTGCGCAGCTCCTCTTCACTTTGGTCTTCGAATCTATGTCCCTCGCGAAGTTCGAGGAAACAGTGCAGGAGCTTACCTGCTTAAACGGCAATGAGTAACTCCAGGTCCTTGAAGGATCAGGACCAGGATCCGTCAGACGCGGCCAAGGAGAGGGAATTCTACAAGCAGGTTTCG